CCCTGTGTTCCCGGGCCTGCCGAGTAAGCCGCGCCTGCGCGGTGGCTATTAAAGCGGCGAGGAGTAAGCGCCAGAAAGCTCTATTTCCTGTGGTTGAGATGAAGCGCGGGAGTTGAGCAAATCGGGAGAGGGCGAGCGCGGCACGGTACGGCGCTAAGCCGCGGGGGGCGGGGCGGGGCGGGTAAGATAGAAGCTGGTTGCCAGAGCTAAGGAACGCCGTAGGCAGTGGCAAGGCCTTGTGAGTTAGCTGAGCGCTGTGGAGGGGACCTCGCTTTCCGCATAGTGAGTACCTCCTTTATCTGGGGTTGGGGGGTCTGGTTGCTAGCTGAGACGTTACTTGTGTCCGTGCTTCAGCGTTCCCCGCTCAACACTGGCGTGTTGGTGTTTGGGCCTAGTAGGACAGAGAGGCCCTGATTTTTCTTTTTTCTGGGCTAGGGCCTCCATGCAGACCTATTGCTGTGTGGGCAGGTGGCGAGGGGTTGGTACCTGCACGGGGTGGGGAGATGCTCTGGGTCTGGTTGCTAGCTGAGACGTTACTTGTGTCCGTGCTTCAGCGTTCCCCGCTCAACACTGGCGTGTTGGTGTTTGGGCCTAGTAGGACAGAGAGGCCCTGATTTTTCTTTTTTCTGGGCTAGGGCCTCCATGCAGACCTATTGCTGTGTGGGCAGGTGGCGAGGGGTTGGTACCTGCACGGGGTGGGGAGATGCTCTGGTTTTACTAGCCATGAGACTGGGAGGTGTTCTCTGCGTTGGCCATTGTGCCTTGGTTTGCCAACAGTCCCTTATTCCAGTCTTCATTTTTTCACTTCTATACAAGAAGGTTAGGAGCTGCCAAGTGCAGCAAAAACAGCCCGAAATACCTGTGCTGAATGTAGGTGCTATTAACAATAATCATTATGGTCCTATTGGGAGGAGAGATGGGTGGGGTGTTAAAGAACTGGTATTTTTTTAAATAGTGTTGGCAACTCGGGGTTTGCTCTGCAAGCCATGGCTTGAGGGATGAGGCCCTTCCATGGTCCACATGTGATTGGGTACTGTCCTGTACTGTACAAAATGGGGTGCAAGTGACTGTCAGAGCCAGGATGCGTGGGTCCCTAGGACTGCCCACCTGGGGTGGGGGGGGCTTCCTATCCAGTCTCTTTCATAAACTTCCCTTCTGTACTCTGGTTCTGCCCCTGTGATAATCTTTGTTGCTCTAAAGCCATTTAAGAGCTGTGTGTCAGAACTACAGGGAAGTCCAAGCACCTAAGATAAATGGAAATATTTATTCTAGAGATGTTAGAATTAAGCTTTTTTTTATTGCTAGTTAGTTTGGGTACATAACCAAAATGTCAAACAGTGGAAATATCTGTTATGGAATGTAATTAAGTGTTAAGTTGGTGACAGGGTTCCAAGGTGTAGACCATAAAATCTTCAACTGTACTGTCTTATTAACATAGTTCTGTTTTTTTAATTAGGTCAATAGTCAAGGCTTTCAAGTAGACATGGATAATAGAGGGGCTATAGCAGAAGTTGAAAATGGTGACACTTCCCTTGACTTGAACAGACTAACATTAAAATCTCATCGTTACACAAAAGTAAGCTAACTCACTCTTAAAACTGTGAATTGAGTGTTTATGAAACCAACTTAGAGCTGGATTAAAATGGAAACAGTATCAATTTTTAGAAAAAAATAGCCTACTTTCCTCTTAGGCTTTGTCTATGGTAGATTTGAAGATGTGATAGATGTGATATTGGTGTATCAGGGGTGGCCAACCTGTTACAGACAGGCCCAGGGAGCCGGGGGCCCTTTGTAGGGGCATGGAGGTGGCTTTGTGGACTGCGGGGTATGCTTTGTGAGCCACGTTTTCTGTGGTGAAGAGCCGCATGCAGCTCGTGAGCTGTGGGTTGGCTGCCCCTGGTGTGTATATTAGCTAGCATCTTTTTAAAGGCCTAGTGTAGCAAGGGAGACAGCATCACCTCACTGTAGCATTAGTGTGGTCACATGCTAAACTGATTGAATTTGATGCCTATGTTTGTCTTCTGCTAGACTTGTAAGTGTGTTGGCAAACGTGATGAGTAACATGTGATGTCTTAAATTCTAGTCTGGTCAAGTTCTAAATAAGCTAATCCATGAAAGAGTCCTAGGAGGAAGGATAGGTTAGTCTCCTTGGAATGTTCAGTTATAGTGTGTATAGCTGTAATACTATACTCCAATGCCTTGTGCAGTGAATGCAGTTTCAGAACTTATGAAGTGAGTTGCGTTGTGAAGCATGGGAAAGCTAAGGCCCTCCATAAGACGATAACCGATTTAGAATTGGAAGAAACTTTCAAGTATTGACATAAGCTTTATAGTTCTTGCCATGTTATCAGTTCATGCACTTAAACTATTCAGTTCTTGTATATTAGAGATAAGATGGTATCTCACTTTGTTAATATTGCTATTCTGGGTTTTCAGCACTGCTGAAAGCTTTCAGGGTGGACTGACTTTAAACTTTTTAATCACCCCAAAAAAAAAAACCCCAGCCTTTTTGAGAAGGTGATTTAAATAAGACGGACTGCTTAGAGTGCACTTAATTTTGGAGTAGTCCCCATTAAACTCTAGCACGTTTTGTCAAAAAAAAAAAAAAGAATCTGTCTCCCTTGGGAAAGTTGAGTTATGCTGAAGTAAAATAGGGAATAGACTTAAGGCATCACCATTACAGTCTGTGGTCATGATGTTCTAAAATAAGGGGGCATGTATTATGTGTAATAAAATAAGACAATGACACTCATTGGCAATTGGAAACTCTAGATTTCTCCTACTGCTGCTTTCTGTACTCTATACTTGGGTGATAGATTCTAAACCTAGCTAACTAAATGAGCACTAAGGATTAGCTGAAATGTTTCTAGCAACACCTGACAGCAAACAGTTTGGGAATTTACTTGTCAGATCACACTTGCACTAAAAGGCATAATCTTGAAGAAACGATGCATTGCAAAGTTTATTAAAGTTACTAACCAGTTGATCCACTCAGCCATATCCATCTCATTTGCTCCCAATAAATAGTTTTTCTTGCATTTCATTCTTGTAACTAGGCCCTGTATCCTCTTGCAGTGTTTACACTTGTACTCTTTTTACCCAGGGAATTAATTTCTTCAGAATATTCCCAGATAAGGTGTCTCATGTCCAGAAGCCAGGACAGTTTTTCCTGTGACAAGTGTAGGGGGAATATAGAAAGCTCTGTGTCGAATATCTTCCCTTTTTCCTGCCAGTCCACTCCACTGTTCCTTTCTATGCTGCCTCCATCCTTTCCTGCATTTTGTCTGTCTGAAGATCATGTCTTCACTAACTCCTCTGCCATGCTTGGCCAAGGTACACCACAAGCACAGAACAAAAACAATCCTATACATATTGTCTGTCTCTGCACATGTTACTTTTTAGTCTGCTGAGAAACAAATTGAAAGCCCAGAACTTTCAAGAAGCAATTGCTAGTAGTTAGTCTGGACCAGGCATGTCCAAAGTCCGGCCCGCGGGCCAATTGCGGCCCGTGTTCCGGTTTAATACGGCCCCCAGGTAATTTGGCAATATCTATCTTTTATGGCCCCCAACAAATCCATATGTATTGAGATGAATACATTGTAAAATCTCAGTTAATGTCAGTTGGTCTAAATCAGTTATAAATATATTTGGACACAACATGTATACTTGGTGTTATGTTCCTGTTCATATTTTTTGAACTTAAAAGTTGACAGACAACCTTTATTACCAATAATATATAATGTACTTTACAATGTTCCTGACATATATTTCAGCTTCCTGGATTTTTTTCATCTGGCCTTCAGATATGAAAGGCAGAGTGATTTAACACTTGTTTAGATTTGTCATCCATGTGACGAAATGAAAAGTATGCCATTTGCAATAAACTTTGCATAAAATAGTTAATTTGCATTTAATTTTAATGGTTCAAAGAATGTCAGGCAAAATGGTCGGCCCTCACGCATGTTCACTTCATCAAATCTGGCCCTCTTTGAAAAAAGTTTGGGCACCCCTGGTCTGGACGGACTAGAGCCATAGTCTCAGAAATGAATTCATCTGTCCTATGTTTGTGATTAACTTGTAACTGTTTTCAAATGAGAACTGTAGGGTTTTTAATTGAATTTTAATCTATTTTTATCCACCCTGGTTGGTTTCACTGTGGGAAGACATAAGGAAGTTGTTTTTGTTATGGTGATTAGGATTTAACTGTGGTGGATGCTATGCAAACAAATTAAAAAGTTGATTCCTGCCCTCAGTTTACTCTTCGGTTCACTGATGAAAGACTGGTTTCTTCCAGCATACCTTTTTAAACACGGATTCAAAAATACGCCTATATGTAAATAGGAATTAGCAAGATGTGCACAAAGAGATCCTTGCTGTTGGTAAGACCTGGGCTCCTCTTATCCCATATCTGCATTAGTTTTACTTGTCTGCAGATCACTGCTCTGCAGATGTGTAAAAACATTCACTTCCCTATGACAGAGTTAACTTTAAGTGAGGGACTGAAATGTTGATCTGGCAGAGTTTTTAATGGTTTAAAATCAGTAATGATTTGTCAACTGCCTAAAACTTCTTGATCGGAGAGGTGGAATTAAGTTGCTTAAGTCTTGTGCATGTCTTCACCTCAGTCTTTAGTTGTGCCAGTGTGCCTAGTCTCCTTTGCTATTGCCTTGCTCAGTAGTTTTGAGATTGTACTCCCCACCCCCATACAGGCCAAGTATCACAGCAGTTTTCCCTAAGACTGAATACAGGGGGAGGGGCTGTGCTAGTCTGGACTACAAACTGGTCCAATTAGTGGTGGTTTAGCTATTCATTCTCCTTGTTCCTAGGAGCTAGAAACAGTTAAATGTGGATTAATATCTGCCATGTAAAGATGGCACTGCAGGGCTATTACAAAGATCACAAGTGGGAGGGCAGTTGGTCCACACATTACGAAAGCTTACAAACTCTAATTTCTATTTCAAAAGGTTGCTAGTACAAATTTTATAACTAAAACATAGTTATTTCAACAATGCTTAGCATGTTTGGCTATGTCTAGACTGGCATGATTTTTTCCGCAAATGCTTTTAATGGAAAAGTTTTTCCGTTAAAAGCATTTGTGGAAAAGAGCGTCTAGATTGGCACGGATGCTTTTCCGCAAAAAGTGCTTTTGTGCAAAAGCATCTGTGCCAATCGAGACGCACTTTTGCACAAGAAAGCCCCAATTGCTGTTTTCACCATTAGGTCTTTTTTGTGCAAAATGGTTCTCAGCTGTCTACACTGGCCCTCTTGCGCAAAAGCATTTGCGCAAGAGGGCTTTTTCCCCCGAACGGGAGAGTCGTATTTGCAGAAGAACACTGATAATTTTACATTAGATCATCTGTGTTCTTGCACAAATTCAAAGCGGACAGTATTAGACAGCTGGCAAGTTTTTCCACAAAAGCAACTGCTTTTGCAGAAAAACTTGCCAGTCTAGACGCAGCCTTTGTGTTAGTGTTGTGCCATACTATTATTCGCATTTGATGATGAATAAGGGAACTGAGGCAGAGATGAAATTGCAGTGTTAGTAGGGATGTAAAATCCTGTTTAATCAGTTAACTGACTAAACAGGATCCCATGGGCAGGGGCCGGCAGCTGTCTCCCAGCCCTGCAGGGTTGCTGGTTATCAGGGTACTATCACACAGTAAGGGTGATGCTTACCATGTAACTGGTTAACCAGTTACCCATTGACATCCCTAATAGTCAGTCACTGAAATGGCCAGGGCTAGAACACACATGCTCATGATTACCAACCCAGGGTCATTGTTATAGCTTACTAGAAGATTTACCTGGTGTTACTTGGGTTATTAAACAAAACCAAAAACCCCCACTTATTTGAGTTTTGTTTTTCTTCATTTAAATCAGTGGTTCCCGACTTTTTTTTTTTTTTTTTGGTCCC